TGGTTAATTGACTTAGGAAAATGAGACTGAAGGGACATGAAGGAACAAAAAGAACAGATTTTAAGTTTAAAGACGGAGAAATGGAGACTTGATCAGTTCCTTTAGAGGCTACTTTAGATCCATTGGCTAAGGTTATAAGATGAGGAGTTTTAGGAAATGAGAGAGAAGAGAACAAAGAGGCATTACAAGACATGTGATCAGAATCACCTGAGTCAATAATCCATGGATTTTGACTTTCCACATATTGTGAAATGCAAGTTGTTGATGAATTTGGGGTTGTTGATGATTGTGCTAGATTACTAGATTTCAACCTCAAATATTCCTGATATTCTTCGTGAGAGAACTTGGGTTCAACCATTTCAGATTTGGAAAAATTGGCAGTTTTGTCAGGAAAACTGTGCAAAGAGTAGCAATTTTCCACTGTATGACCCATTCTCTTGCAATGAGTGCACTGAGGACGTCCTCTACCTTCACGTCCTCCTCTAGTGTCGCGACTTCCTCTTCCATGAGTAGAAATCATAGCAAAAGATTCAACAAGTTCTTGATTATTTTTTCCTTTGAGAGTTGGAACACGAAGCAGTCTTGTAGTCAAACTTTCCATAGAAGGAACTTCTTGTCCAATTAAAATTTGATCTCTAACATGATCAAATTCTGAATTCATAGCCTGGAGAGTCATAACAATATAGAATTTATCCAACTTTTGCTTTATCTCCTCTAACGAATCCACCTCTAGGAACATCTTTAATTCTTCAACTGCTGATTGAGCTTCAGCAATAAAGGTCATCATATCTTTATCCACTTGCTTGAGAGAGGCTAATCGATTAGCGGAATCATAGAGGCGTGCGTTGGATATCATTTGCAAAGATATTCTGAGCTTTTTTCCAGAAAGAGTTACATGTTTTGAAGGATCTGAGAGTGTTCAAAACATTTGGTTCTACTGATTGGCACAGTAGAGCACAGAGTTGATAATCAAGATTTTCCCATTGTTGAGCCTGATCTTCTGGTATCTTACTTTCGTCTTCTTCTAGATGATCGTGAAACCCTTGTCCAAGGAACCAAAGTTCCACTAAAGAGGACCAAGACATGTAATTTTTTCCATTTAATCTCTCAGCCTTTATCGTGGGAGTTCCGGAAAAGGAGGTTATGGGCCCTGACGACATGTTTTAAATAATGTAGATGTAAGATGGAGACAATGGAACCTGTAAGAAAGAGCACACCCAAGATAGTCGGAAGGTTACTAGAAGGTGGTCGGAAAGTCGTCGGACGGCAGCAAAAAAAAGGTGACTGGACGGGGGACTAACGGTTGCCGAAAAGTGACCAAAAAGTGGCCGGACGGTGGCCGGAAAATGGTCGGACAGTGACGGGAAAATGGTCGGACGGTGACCGGAAATGGCCGGCTGGCGACCAAAAATGGCCGGACGGTGGCCGGCCGGTGACCGAAAATGGCCGGACGGTGGCTGGATGGTGGCCGAACAGGCAGAGCAGGACCAACCTGCTCTGATACCAAGTTAAGAGAGTAAAGAGAGTGAAAAGAAGATTTCTAATTTAGTGGGATGCGTTCTTTTGATTGAGCCACTTCAATCCTAGAAAGTATTTGAGACAACCAAGATCCTTAGTTTGGAAGTGATTGCATAAATGTTTCTTTAGTACAGAAATTTTATCAACATCATCCGTTGTAATGACTATATCATCTACATATACAATTAAATAAACACATTTTCCTGAAGCAATATAATAAAAAACAAAATGATTTGTTTCACTTCGTTTTAATCCAAAACTTTGAACAATGTAACTAAACTTTCCAAACCAAGCACATGGAGATTGTTTGAGACCATAGAGAGAACGATGTACAAACTAGAGCTATGAACAAATACTAGATCTTCCGCCCTATATGGTGTCATCTTGTTTCTTTTCATAGAATGAATGAAAGAATAAATGCTCCAATTTCTTTCACAACATGAAGAAGAGCATGGTTGCCCAAGTAGTTTAAGAGCAATTTTTTGAAGTATTGGAGCATGAGCACAAACAAGCCACCAAGATTTTGCATCCATCTTACCCTTATCACTTAATGAATCAATGTCATCAAAACTTTCTCTTCCATCAGAAAAATTTGCAAACTCTACATTTACATGTCTCTTCACATCCACATCAACAAAATATCGTTTAAAATATTTCACCCTTTCACGAGTAAATTCCATATGTTGATGTGGAGGAACTCTGTTAGAATCTTCACTTAGTCATTCATGACTATAATATCTATAATATAAATAAAAATCATGATTGCAATAACCTATAAAAATGTAACTAAAATCTTATTTAGGAATATAAAATATTATCTTGGATTTAAAGAATGTGCTAAACAATGGAGAGGTGTGTTACTCTTTGTCCAACATTCAATTAATATGGAGTGCACAACATTTTAAAAGCATGATTCTTCACTTTCCGCCTTTCTTTCATATCGATAAATGGCCTTTCTCACATTTTCAATCATTGAGTCTCACATTTCATATACTAAATGGAGAGATGAAGCTTCCGTATCCGTTTTTCTTAAAACATCATAAATGGGACTAGTGAAAGAAAGTATATAATCAACCTTATCCCACCAAACATCATCCAATAATGTATCTTTCACAAATTTAGTTTTTCCAACATCATCTTCCTTGTAAGAAGATCATTCATCACTAATAACCATCTCTTGGAATCCTTTTTTTAATTGCTTAAATCTCTTAAGCATGACTATAGTAGAAGCAAATCTTGTTGGAGCAACGGAAAGCAACTTTAATGAGTTGAATGAATTAAAAATAGATAACCTCATTGAGTGACCCATTATAAAAAAAAATTATGAACATAACATCTTCTCCTATATTTGTGATCCAAGAACATTCTTGATAAGCAATATTATTTTTTTTTTGTGTTCTTTGTTGCACATATATTTTTCAAAACAAGATTTAGAGTGTGCACAACGCAAGGGGTCCAATAAATACAAGGAAAATCATCTTCAATCATTAAACCTGCGGCCTTACATACAGATGCATTATCAGTCACAATTTGCACCACATTTGATGGTCCAACTTCCATAATTACATCTCTCATTTGTTTGGCTATAAAATCTATCTTTAATCTCATCAAAGCATTCTATAGCCTTCAAAAACATAGGTTCACTCTCTGTAACAATCATGCAATTAATGAGAGGTCTTCTTTGGGGATCACTCCACCCATCACTAACAATGCTAACACCTTTTTTACTCCATGTATTTTTTATTGACTCCAAAAGCTTCTCTACATGTCTTTTTTCATTAGCAAGTAAACTTGTTCTCAACTTATTATAACCTGGTAGTTGATATCCGCTTACATAATTATTGGCAGCAAAAGAAAAAGCTCTCCTATAATAAGAATTTCTTGCTAAATGAAATGGCAATCCCAATGAGTAAAACATCCTAACAATTTCATAGTCTAATGTCTCTCTAGCTTGCATATTAAAAGTTTTATCTAGTGATCCAGATGTTTTCCTTTTTTTTTTAGATCAATACCATCTATAGATGATTCATTAAAAACCAAAGGCAAAGGGACAAATTTTGCCTTAGACCTTTCTATCTTCAATGTAGCTTCATTGTCTAGCTTTGTTAGTTCACCAAGCTTCAAGGGTGTTATTTTTTTACAACCTCTAACTCCCTTTTCCGTAATCTTCAACAAATGTGCTCTCACTCTAGTATAAGATCCATTGAAAATAAGGTTACAAATATTGCATTTTACTTCATAATTTCCACCACCTCCACCAACACTTTTTATCTTTGTAACATAATTCCATAGGGGTTTGATATCATCATCTTGTAAAGGCTTACTAGAATTTCTCATTTCTACAAAATGAAACCAATAACATATGATTTTTCTATGTTCATAATTCAATAACTATGGCATTCTAATAAAAAAATGAAACATTATAAAGGAAAATAGAGCAAAACAAAGACCTAAACAGTGGACAGCAAAAGAAAGCATGACGCAGTGGAATACCTGAATAACAATGAAAACCTGAACGACAGGCATAGAGCAAAACAGAGCAAAATGAACATCAAAACTTCAATTAACAGCGGAAGAAAACAAAGCAATCCCTACTTTTGAATTTCGGATCGCTTCTAATTGTTACTCTCTACCCCTTTCTCTTTCACAAACCCTATATTCCTCCCTCTCTGTAAATGGGTTGGAATCTCATATTCTAGCTCTTCATTTGTTTCCCTACCAACATTGCCCTTCTCGCCTCCACTTTTTACCAGGTTTTGATCCTATCTAATTTGGAATATGATTACGTCAACCTGTTTGACACTTCGTCTAGGATTAACTACTTCGTTGTTCCGGAGTTCATTGGCTAGGGAGCGTAGTGTGCTCTATGCTCTCATATTAACTACACAGTAGCACGCAACAGAAGAAAGTCATTGGAAGCAAAAAAGGAAAACTTTTTTGGATGAAAGGAAAGCTTTGAAGCATAAATGGAAACGTGCAGAGGAAGGAAGGAAGAAAAGAAGGAAAACGGAAGGAAAAAGAACGTAAATGGAAAAAATTCAAAAAAAAAATTTATAAAAACTATACCCGAGTCGGAGTCGTGTCGACACCGTGTCGGAACTGGGTCACGCCGTGTCTACCATGACTCAAAGCCCCACGACACATTTTTTGTCTAGGGGACACTGCAAAAAGGAGTCGGACACGCATCCTCAACATGTCGTAACGGTGTCGGACTCGCATGCAACGCTTGGACACGGATGAGGGGAGCCGTGTCGATGCTTCACAATACAAAATATAAAGCTCTAGCCTCTATATATAGTCATTCTAGACTCCTAATGCTAATCAATTAAATGAGAAAGATATAAGGAAATATATAAATCACTTATAATAGATCATAAGATACTAAAAAAAAAAATTTCTTTGAAGATATAATCAACATATCATAAGATATTTCTTAGATATTCTAAGATTTTTCGTGTGACAAAAGTTTACTAAACATTACACTAGTGAAAAATTGGGTGACGCATGGGACTAAGCTGAAGCCAAACTACATATGGAATAAAATCAGGCCAGGGACAGAGGTAGGGGATTGAGTGTTTGATTTCATTTGGGACGAAGAGACTAGGGCCATACTGCACTTTTGACAGACAGGGCAGCATAGAAACCTACCAAAAAGAGAGCAAAGCTGAAAATTTAACAAGAAAGAACGCAGAGATGCTAGAAGAAAATATACCAACGGAAATGACCAAGCTAAAGTGACTCTAAATCTAAAATGGGTCAGAAGAAAATCAGAGCCAAAACACAGCAAAGCACATTTTGAAAGGGCACGAACCAAGACCAAAGAGGCTGGGTTGTTGGGTTTTTGAAGGGTTATGTGTATATGTATTTCTGATATATCATGTGTATATCTTTCTATTCATGTACTCTATGTATATATAGAGTAAAAATATTACAAAATATTAAATATTCATAATATCTCAATCATAACAGTCTAAATCAGAATAATAACCTAATGTCTTTTTACCTTCTCTCTTAAAAGATAATAAAATCTCTTAATACCTAATTTAAATAAAAGATAATAAAGTAATATTTCCAACATGGGTGTCATCAAATTGGCCATATCAAAGTAAGCAAAGAAGTCAGCGGGTGAAAAGAGAACTTCACAGTGTGGAGGTTAGATTCACAACGGAATAGTGATGGGAGCATGGTATAGTAGATTCAGCAAGATAAAATTGACAGTGAATGCTATTCTTTTTGGGAACATAACTATGGAAAGTATTCTGATGCTTACTTAAGGCACGCACCTAACATAGTTATTTCATAGCTATACAGATTCTCTTTTGGAACATAACTATGAATAATTTTCTGTGTTGGTAAATAAGGCACCGCCACCATCATAGTTATTTTTAGTATTAAGCATTGGATTGATACTCCTTCAACAGCAATTCCGAGCCCAAATATGACCTCACCAATATTATAAAAGATGAAATAATAATAATAATAATTGAAAGAACACAAAATGCTCAAGATACTTCTCCAAGGACTCTTCATTTGTGGCATATACTTCCTACCGCAGGGCATTCTTCCTATCATTCAGTTTATGGTGTAAAATAAAGCCTATTTGTAAAACTTAATGAACTCATAAATCCTAATTCCCAATTTACACTTTTATTACTTTGTTCGTGAGTAATTTCATTTGACTGGAACACACTGTGCACGTTGAGGGGAAATGTCCTTGTGTACTATAATTTGGACATTGTCGATATCTATTTGTTCATGTTATGCCATGGGTTTGTATTTGTGCGGTGTCAGTGTCTTCTTCATAAATACAAACCACTAATTACAAATCAATTAAGGAACCATTCAAGAAATAATAAAATATGGAAATCACTAGTAAGAGATTATCTAAGTTATTCTATAATACTGCAAAGATACAATGCGATAAAATGATATCTATTTAGAGATCATAACGTTACTTTTGAAATCGAAACTGCAATGTCCCTGTGTCTTCTCACTAACAATGATAATAGATACAAAGAAAGATTAGACAACCTTCCACTTCCGTAAACATGCCAATCACAATATCAAATGCATACTGAAAAGCAGCCAAAGTTATAGTCTTACTAGCACGTACACACGCCACCACCACCACTAAATTTTAATGTAACAAAGCAAGGCATGCTACCAAATCTGCAAAAATTGCATAGTGCTAATTTGAAAATGAGAAAATGCATTATAATGAAAGTCTTTCAACTAGCCTTAGAAGTTAAAGTCAAGGTAATAAGGAAAGTTGCCATAATCATGTTCAATCACTTGTAACGGACTTGCGGGTGAGGGCTCTGGTTCTACTATTCATATTCTCCAGCGGATCCAATCCTCTGTTTCTGTAACAAACTTGCAGTGTCACTGCACTCCTCAATTTTGTGTTGAATAGGGTTGAGAAATAGATGCTGCTAGGGCCCAAGTAATTTATGTCAGAATCCTCCCCAACCCCAAACCTAGGATATCAGAATTTTCTATTCTATTGATAAAAATTGCACAACTCCAATCCTGATTCTTAGATACAATTAGCTGAAGATGATTTGACAATTCTTCGTATACGTCTAAGAAACATTCAGAATTCCAGCGGTAATAGATATGTTTCCAACAAATGTAGAGTTATGGTACTAATGGTCGAACAAATTACAATGCAACCAAAGTTTGAAGCTGGAAGATAATTATAATAAAAGCAATCATGACAAAAAGTATTTGCAAGGTATCAGTATCAATACTTAGACTTAATATATATATATATGTTCATAGCACTACACAAGGGTTTAGGATATTATGACACTAATTCAAAAAACTGGAACGAGTCCAGAACACAAAATATAGCACAATGATTTATGAATAATGACTATACCATAAAATGTAACTTGAAAATTCCTACTGGTCGTTGAGATGAAACCTGAGCTTGCTGAGCATCTTACCAACTTGTTCAACACCTAACTCGGGAAAAGCTTAATTGTTCGTATTTTTTAGAGAAATTACAATTCAAATTCATCTTCAAGCTTCAACGCCTCAGCAGCAGCTTCTTCCTCTTCGTCATCGATGACAAAATAAGGATTGTGAGCCTCTGGCTTGAACTTGTAGCCAGTGAAGATATAGAAAGCAAGCGTGGCTAACTCTGCAGCAACCACACTGGTCCAAGAATAGCGATAGGAGGTTATGGTCTCCAAGGCATAAACCACAACCCTGGTGAAGTAAATGTAACAGATAACGACGATGTAGTAGTGGCGGAAGAGAGTGAGTTTCATCAAATTAACAGCAGCCTTTCCGTCGGTCCTGGCGGCCTCACGGAGGTTCTTGATGGACCAGACAATGGGGAAGAGCACAGCGCAGCAACAAACGACATCGACGAGGAGGAAAACCTGTTTCCAGGTAACCCAGTCGTGGCCGTAGGGCCCACTCTCGTCAATGACGACCTGAGCGATGTTGGCGATGACTTGAAGGGGGATGACAATCATGAGAACCTTCTTTTCCTTATCCTGAAGGAAGGGCTTGAGGAAGGACCAGCCAGTGCCAATCAAGACAATGAGAGTGAAGAGAGAAATGCCCTTGAGGAAGCTGAAGATGTAGAAGATGATATCCCAGCCGTGGGCGCTTCCGGTGCGCTTGATGTAGGATTTGTCCTCGGCCTCGCACAAGAGATTCAAAGCCTTCAAGATGATGACGGCCAGCATGAAGTAATGGATGCGGAAGGCGGTCAATCGCTTCTTGTAGAGCACGCTGATCCAGAGACCAGCCATCCCGAAATACACCAGCGAGAGCACGAAATAAACCTTCGGAAGGATGGTTCTCCCAGCAGAGAGGTAATCGCGAGTGCTGCTCTTTCCGTCCAGATTATACATGGCCGATTTAACGTCCATGGTCACTTTCAGTTGCTGCGGGTGGCAGTTCGCGAACACCAGGTTGTACTGATCGGCGTCGGTTTCGCTGTAGACGGTGTCGAAAGAGTCTTTGCCATTGAGATAATTGAAGGTGTAGACGGACTTCACCAGATCGGATTGAAGGGCGCATCGAATCTCTCCATCCTCCAGCTGCTGGAGGACATGGAGCCAGGAATCGAGGGTGCAGAGAAAGAAGCCCACCTTGGAGAGGTCCAAATTGGAATTGGAGAGGGAGATTCTAGAAACGTTGAGCTCAAGGCGACCCTTGTGGGTGAAACCAAACTGGTCGAAGGGAACGATGGGGCGATCGTCGTTACGGATCTCCGAGAAGCGGATCTCCGAGAGGGATGAGGGGAGGAGGCCCAGTAAGAGGAAGAGGAAGAGGAAGAAGGAGCAAGGTGAAGACCCCATCTTCATCGCCGTCGTGTTGGTGAAACCTTCAGATAGATCAGATCTGCTAATTGCTATCGGTATTGCTGATAAGCCAGCCCGTGTAGCGTAAAATAGTCGGCAATGTAATGGAGAGATGATAAATCAACGACACACCAAACTAGTAAGTCAACTTCAAAATCTCACCGCACCAGTAAAGCTATGGTTAGCGTTTACTAATAATAACTCCCTAACTTTTCCTAATACCATTCTAGTTCTTTAATATTGAATTATTTAATAAAAAAACCTTTAATTTACGAAATTACTGAAATAACTAGTATTTTATTTACTAATGTCAATGTATTATGGATACGGAGAGTAATTATTTCATAAAAATATTGTCTATCAAATGTTCCGGTATTCATTTGAAATAAACTAATAATTTCTTAATTTTGAATTGTTCTTATTGGGATTTTAGGTTCGAGGACTGTCCGAGTTTTGGTATATATATATATATATATATATATATATATATATATTTTTTTTGTCCGACTAAGTCATCTTCTAAGGTTTGTCGGAGGTGTACACAGTGGGTTGGGTTGATTCTGTCACCTATTGCAATCCAATAAAATAAATCTTGGATGGAGTTGGGTTAAATTTTTGTAATTTTTTATTCGATTTAATTTAATTTAATCCACTTTTTATATGATTTGGGTTGGATTAATTAGAACATAAATTTAAAAAAATTATTAAATTTTATTTTAAAATATATTTTTAGAATTTTTTAAAATAGATTAAATTATTTATTATTTGAATAATTTAATAATATAATATTTTAAGAATACATATTTATTTAATATAATAGTTAAATAAATTAGATAATAAATATATTATTATCAATGTTAAAATGATTTAATAATATATATTAAATGAGTTTGGATTATATTAGGTATTGGGTTGGATATATAAAACTTGTTATCCAATTTATTGAAAGTTAGGTTACACTCCATCATAAACAATATATGTATTTGCTAAAAAATTCTTCCTTTGTGTTATAGGATGAGTTGGTTGAGCAGAGCACTCAGGGATCATTCCACCCACATGGTCGTGAGGATATATTGGCAGTGGCCATCGGTACCCTAGAGCATCCTAGACGTGTTCGTGCTGCTGGACGAGGGGTGGGCATGAGACAGTACTTTGGTGCCCCATCCGTGGCAACTCATACTTTGAGGCATCTGAATGAGTTGGAGTTAGAGTCCCTCAAACAACAAATTAGGAAGGAGATTCGAGATGAGGTGTACTCTGACTTGAAGTTATTGAGCTCAATGCGAGCAGAGTTGGCATCTTTTTCCTCTCAACCTTTTGTTCCCGCACGAGAGGCATCCCCGATTCATGTCAGCACAAAGGAGAGTTGTAATGCTCCTGATAGAGGGGCAGAGGTTGCTCCTACTGACACTGCTGACTGTGAGTTGTATGTTGCGGGTCCTCCCGAGCATTTGGAGGCATACGGTACGTATTATATCTTTGACATGTATTTAGTACTCTGTTAAGCATTATATAGTCTAAAATATTTTATCATTTGTTTACCTTAGGGAAAATGTATGCATTGGGGTCAACCATCCACCACCAGAGTATTGGAGATGATATGATAAGAGTGGTGGTTGTAGATGTTCGGGATGTTGTTGCCCCAATCCCTATTCCCACTGAAGAGGTTAAAACAGTGGGACAGACACCTGGAAATTTTATCTTATGGTCAGTTTCATTAACAAGACCCATCCCAACACATGCACAGGTTGTGTCATGCATTTATCCCTTTTACTTATTATTTTTTGATATGTTGATGTATATTAATGTTATTTATTTTTGGTACTTGTATAGAAAGAGGCTGAAAAAATAAAGGAAGTTGTGCATGAATCACCACCACCACCGAGTGCTTTACAGCGACTCGGTGCACTAGCAGCGACTATCAGGACCACTCCCATACAGTTAGATATGCCACCTGAAGTCGTATGCAGGACCAAGACGATCCCTTTTTTCTTACTCCAAAGGGATATTTTTGATATTCTCGCTGGTACTAATATGTTATTATGTGTATCAGTGTTGCAGCTTTGGGAATTGTAAGTAAATTTACATATTTTTGATATTCTCACTGGTACATTATTTTATAACTTTATTTATTTTCAATGTTGAAGGTATTTACATCGTTTGTGTGTTGAGAGAAAGATTGCCTTTATCTATGGATTTGTTGACCCTGTTGCCATTCAGTCCGTTGGGAATAAAGCTGAAGAGGTGCAAACGTACTTAATAGAGACATTTCAAAATGGGGGCAAAGAAGTCTACTTAGCACCTTACTTGCATCAGTAAGTATACATCTTAAAAAGCACATTTATGTAAAACTGAAATTTTACTAATATTATTTCAACGTGCAGGGGTCATTGGCAGCTCATAATCATTGTTCCTCGGCAATTTCTTGTGATTCTCTTGTGTTCATTACACAAGAAACCAAATGATTTGGATATTAGAAAGCACATAGACGCGTAAGTTTGGTTTTTGAATTGTTGTATCATATGTGCACTTACACCAAAATTAGGTTCTATTATAATTAATTTTTGTCCTTTTGTAGAGCTTTGGAAGCTCACCTAATGTTGCAAGGCCTTCCATCTCATGCTAGAAAGAAGTTGACATATATTGCACCAAAGGCGACCAAACATTCCTCTTACTGTTGTTCAATTTGTCATTTAAAGTTAATCTGACATGTATTTAACTTGTAGTGTCCACGCCAACCGGGAAGCCATGAGTGCGGGTATTATGTGATGAAACACATGCACACCATCATATCCACAAATATTATTGACTCATGGAGGGAGGTAAATATACTATAATTAAGTCAAATATGCCAATTATGTAAATGGTTTCTAAATCTGAAATGTTTCAATATGTAGGAATTTACAGACTCATCTCCATTGAAGATTGAAGTGTTAGACGATATTAGAGAGCAGTGGGCTTCTTTCCTTTTAAGTATTCAATCTTCATAGCAAATTTGACTTGTAAAAATTTTGATTGAATTGATTTAAGTTAGCAAATTTACATTCGTTTAAGTAAATGAACTGTCTGGAACTATGAGGTACATATATTGATTTCAATATGTTTCATATGTACATATCTGTCTGGAACTATATATGAACTGTGCATATCTGTCTGTACAAGTGTTTGGAACTGTGAATATCTGTCTGGAACTATGATGAATAGGCAGGTCTACTCGAAGAAAGGTAGGATCTGTGAAGAAAATGCAGGTTCTGTAAAAAAAATACACACTTTCTACATCGGTTATGTCATTAACCGACGTAGAAAGTACTTTCTACGTTGGTTAATGACATAACTGACGTAGAAAGTTTAACATTTTATGTCGGTTATAAGCATAACCGACATTGATATCACATACAATCACGGTTACTGTTAACCGATATAGATACAGATATTATAGAAAGTAAGACTTTCTACGTCGGTTAGTCAGAGAACCGACGTAGAAAGTCTTACTTTCTATGACCCCTATATCTATGTCGCCGCTTTAACCGACGTAAAAAGTCTTTTCTGCAGTAGTGAAAACTCGGTCAAATCTATTTGGATTGGGTATAAGGTTGGATATATAAAACTCGTTACCCAATTCATTGGAGATTGAGTTTTGATTCAATCACGAGACAAAACTCAACTCAATTTATCTAAGTTGGACTAGGTCATCGGGTCACCCAACCCTTAGTTTTATTATATATGTATATGAATAATATATATATGTATATGAATAATATAAAAAAGAAATGTATATGAATAATATACATGTTATTATTAATAATATACATGTTATTATTATTAATAATATACATGTATATGAATAATATACATGTTATTATTAATAATATAAAAAAGAAATGTATATGAATAATATACATCGGGTCACCCAACTCAATATATATATATATATATATATATATATATATATATATGAATAATATAAAAAAGAAATATCAAAGATGATAATATACGTGTTATTATTAATTATTTGTGAGATGCTTTATGTCTAATATCTTAAAGACTTAACCAATATCTCAACATGTTATTCATATTATCGAATTGTTTTATTTGAGAAGGTACACAATTCCCTTGAGATCAAAAGTTGAATATTTATGTAAGCAGAATATTTATATAGGTTGATCGAGTCGACTAGTGATTAGTAGTTTGTTATTATCTTTTTTACCTTGTATTTATTATGGGAATAAAATACTCATTAGTATGTTGTCATTGTAGTTGTTCTAATGTCATTTAATTATCTTCTAATTTATTTAGTTTCTCAAAAATGGGATAAGTTTGTTTTTTAAAACAATATTTTTTTTATGACTGTGAACTTTAAAACTTGTCATGCGTGAATGAATATATATAGATGGTGTGTCGAACATGTTCATACATATACATTCATAATCATAATACATTATTTTTCAAAATAACTAATCCAACTAGAATCATATTGTAATTACATAAAATGTGTACCCTTAAACGATTAGAACTTAATTTAAACTTATACATCTCAAAATAAATTAAATCTTAATAAGAGCAGGTACCCAAAATTCCTAACTTTCTTATATACAAGACCATGCCACTCCTGGAGGGCAGCATTCCTCCATGCATATATATGATACTCAACCAAACTATGATTCCTCCACCATAATTGTTCCATCATCACCTGAAATATAACAGTAAGGATGAGTTTCCTTTTCTCATCACTCCAGAACACTAAACCGAAAATTTTTCCGACTTCCACAATCTAAAATCATATGTAACAGTTATGGTCAAATATTTCATTCTTACAATAAAGTATCACACACAACAATTTCAAACAATCTCCACGAATCACATCACTAAAACTAAAAACACTCATACATGCTTGTGTTTTATTCGTTCATTTTTTTTTATACATTTGAAATGCCCATGCACCTAGGATACACTATCAATCCCACCTCTCAATCCATAAAAGGATCACACATAAGTACAGACAG